GAGAGAGAGAGAGAGAGAGAGAGGCGTAGAGCGAAAAGGAGGGAGAAACATACGGCCAAAACGAGGGGAAAGGGAGGGAGACAAGGAGGAGAGGGAAGGGAGAGAGAAGAAGACAAAGGAATAGAGAGAGGGAGGAAGACAAGGGGGAGAGAAGGGGAAAGGGAGAAGAGACAAGAGGGAGTGACAGGGAGAAGCATAGTACCAACGAGAGGGGAGAGAGAGAGAGAGAGAGAGAAAGGAAAGGGAGAAGGCGAGGCGTAAAACGAAAGGGAGGAAGACGGAGGGAAAAAAACATAGGGAGAGAGGGAGGACAGACAAGGGAGAGGGAAACAGGATAGAATAGGGAGAGAAGGAGAGAGTAGTATAGAGGAAAGGAGGAGGAAAAATTTAAGATAAAGAAGGGGAAAGGCATAGAACAGGAAGATCCGGAAACGGAAGCAGAGGCGAAAAATATAAAGAAAACTACAAATAGATAGATAAATAAACAGACACACAGGAGAAGAGAGAAAGAGAACGAGAAAGAGAAAAAGGGATAAATATAGCGAAAAGGTACACAAAATACGTTCAGAATGAGAGAGAGAGAAAAAGAAAGAGAGAGAGAGAGAGAGAAAGAGAGAGGGAGGGAGGGAGGGAGGGAGAGAGAGAGAGAGATAGAGAGATAGAAAGAGATAGATAGAGAGTAAAAACAGAGAAAGAGAGAGAGAGAGAGAGAGAGAGAGAAAGTTGATTTACGAAAGTGCTAAATGAACCAATACCTGGAGAGGAGGGGGAAAAAAGACTTTTTATTTATTATTTTTTTCGCCTGAAGAAATGAAGAAAAAAAATGTATAAATGCTATATCTCATCTCGACAAGATTATTAATTACTAGAAGGTTTTATTGTTTCTTCAGGATTAATATTCTTTGATAATTACGATAATAAAGAAACAGATGAGGTTTATTGGAATATATATTTACATATATGTGTGTTTATAGATCCTTCAGTATTCATTTGCATATTTAATCCTACCGTTTACATAGCACCGAATATATTTCCCAGATTAATCATCCCAAAAAATATATATATAAACTAGACACGAAATATGAACTAAAAGAAGGGAAAAAATCACGGGTATTTTATCGTATCATTTAATTATCGAACCAAATGCAGACAGCGTAGCATTTTCATGGCTTGAGTCGGTCCGAATGTTAATGGATTTTTCGCGTGATGGTGACCAGTATGTTGATGATTATGGTGATGATAGTGATGCAAGGGGGAGGGTATAGTGAGTCAATGTGCCTTGTGCGAGTTAATTTTTTTTTTTTTTTTTTCTAAGTTAATTATTATGACTTTTTTTCGGGATTAGGAACGGCGATGACGAAGGAATCTGAGGATTTTTTTTTTTTTTTTTTTTTTTTTTTTTTTTTTTTCTGTCGGAAAGAATATGTTATAGATGATGGCTTTTTCTATGTGAATTCGGAGAAATGTGAAATCTCTCATTCTCTCGCTCTCTCTAATTGTCTCTCTCTGCATCTCTCTCTCTCTCTCTCTCTCTCTCTCTCCCTCTCTCCCTCTCTCTCTCTCTCTCTCTCTCTCTCTCTCTCTCTCTCTCTCTCTCTCTCTCTCTCACACACACACACACACACACACACATATATATACAGATACACCCTCCTACGTACATACACATGCACACCTTCATACACACACAAGCACCCTCCTCCCTCCCTCCCTCCCCTTCCCCCCACTTCTCCTCCCATCCCTTCCCCCTCCTCCCTCCCCATCCTCGTCCTCCCTCCTCCCTCCCCTTCCCCTCTTCCTCCCTCCCTCCCTCCCTTTCCCCCTTCTCCTCCTCCCATCCCTAATTCCTCCCTCCCCCGCCCACCCCCACCCCTATAGACCGAGCCACAGTGCATGAATAAACACCATATATTCCAAGCTTAGCGGAGACCCACGGGAACGGAGCGGAAACGGGTCGTAGCGAAAAACCGCTAAGATGGGCGTTCTTTAAGGCTCCCTGAGTCTTGTTTATGTTGCTCATTAAGGGATTATGCAAGATTTTCGTATTGGGGGAGGGAGGGTGGAATGGAGGGGGGGGGGGTATGCGGACGTTCAAGAGGTGGCGGTGGTGGTGTGGGTGTGGGGGGGGGAGGGGGGGAGGAAAATGGGGGAAAGGGGAAATATATTAGGGATTAGGGGGAATGAGAAAGGGAAAGGAAAAGGCGAAAAAAAAATTAGGAATTAGGGAAGATGGGGAGGAGGGAAAGGGAGAAGGGATGGGAATGGGGGAAGAGAATAAGGAATTAAGGGAGATGGGGAGGAAGGAAAGGGAGAAGGGAAAGGGAAAAGGGGAAAAAATAGGAATTAGGAAAGGGAGAAGGGATGGGAATGGGGAAGAAAATAAGGAATTAAGGGAGATGGGGAGGAGGAAAAAGGAGAGGAGAGGAGAATGGGGAAGAAGATTAAGAATCACTGGGAATGAGGAGGAGGGAAAGGGAGAAGGGGCGAGAATGGGGAAGAAAATAAGGAATCAGGGTGAATAGGATAAAGGATGGAGATAGGCAGAGAAGGCAAATGGGGAGGGGAAGTTAGTGAGGGGAGAGTAAAGATTTTTATTTGTTCATTGACTTTTTTTTTTGGGGGGGGGGGTTCGGTAAATAATTTTTAGATCTTATGTTCTTTGCTGTTTTTGTTCTTGTTCTTGTCATGGCGTGTTATTGTTATTGTGTTATTTCTTGACGTTATTGTTATATTCATTAGGGAATTTATAACCAACTTTTGTTCATTTTTAATCAACCAGTTTTTTCTGTTCTATTTTGGCTCTTGGTTATGTATATATAGATAGATAGATAGATAGATAGATAGGCAGATAGATAGATAGATAGATAGATAGATAGATAGATAGGCAGATAGATAGATGGGTAAAAGAAATAACCTATAGTTTTATTCTTATTTGAATATCTGAATCATTGTGCATAGGAAGATGAAATACCAATATGTGTGTTTACCCTAAAATTTTCCAGTATGTTATTTCCTTGTTAATTTTCCTTACAATAACATTCTGTTTCTCCCATTTCCTCTGTTTTCTCCTGTTCGTTTTTCTCTTCTCATCACCCTCCTTCCTTCCCTTCCTTTCTACCTTTCTTCCTTAGCTTTCCTTCTTCCCTCATCTATCTCCTTCTCCCTCTCTTCCTTTACCCCTTTCCTGGATTGAAATCCCTACCTACACTTACTTCTCTCCCTTCCCTCTTCCTCCCTCCCTCTTTCTCTCTTTCTCTCTCTCCCTCTCTCTCTCCACCCTTATGTCTCTCCCTTTCCTCCTCCCTTCCTTTCTCCCTCCCTCTTTCCCCACCCTTACCTCTCTCCCTTCCCTGCTCACCCTCCTCTCTCCCTCCTCCCTCCCTCCCCCCTCCCCCCCTATTGTTCACGAGCCAATACCCTGCATCGATTTCCCCAGCACCCCACCCCCCCCACCCCAACCTCCCCTTCCGCCCGCTGACTCGCCAACACAAGACAGTTTGACCCGAAATGACCTTAACCAGGTGTGCTTCCTTTCCATAATTTGCTTTCGTTTCATTTCATTTCTCTCTCCTTTTTTCTTTCTTTTTTTCTCTATTTTTTTAAATCTCTGACGTTGCAGCGCGCGCACGTCACGGCACTATTGTTGCGTTGTCACACGTAACTGCGTCTGAATGGGGGGGGGCGAACTGCTCGTCGTAACCGTCATTGTCGCTGATTTGACGTTCGATGTCACGTTATGCAAATCATTTTGATCGTTCTTTATTGTGTGCTCTTTCGCGGTCAGCTGATCTTGTATGCGCACATGACCTAGCGTACATGTGTGCGTGTGTCTGCGTGTCGGTACAACACGCAGAGTGTCGGTACAACACGCAGACACACACGCACACATGTACATTAGGTCAACCATGCACGTAGAGGATGTGGCATAAATGGCTTGCATAATCAGCTGACTACATGTATAGCCCGTCCTTATAGAGCGTAATATGTATGTCCTTTTTTATGTAAATTTATTGGCATTTGCAGAAATATTTAATCGAATGTTAAGAAAGAAGATTTTAAGTCTTGTCTAGAACTTTCTGTAGACAATGAACTTACGCTCTGTTTAATCTGATTAATGACTTAAATTTCCATTGGAGTTCGTTGGTATTCGGAGCACAAAGTCATGTCCATATACAATTATAAGTTAAAGGTCTGATTAGTGCCTGCATGATAAGCACAGGACTGCATGACCTTTCCCTTCAGTGTTGTGAATGTGCTCTGGCAGCTTTTAATGATGCATGATTTGGGTCTATATGAATAAAATATCGGGTGGCAACCTGGATGTATATATATATTTTTTATTTATGAATCAATAATTAATCTTTGCATACTCTGATTATTTGATTTTTTTTTTAGAAATATAGAGCCTCTGTATATAAACACATATGCCTTTTCTCACGAGTACACAAATAGCCATTAATTTCGTTGTTTTAACATTATAGTAATGCTTAAAGTGGTATATTGCAATTATAAAGTAAAATCCTTTATTATAATTGTGTGTAACGGAAAAAGAGAGGGAGACAGAGAGAGAAAAATGGATAGATAGAGAGGTTATTGTGTGTGTGTGTGTGTGTGTGTGTGTGTGTGTGTGTGTGAGTGTGTATGTGTGTGTATGTGTGTGTGTGTGTGAGAGAGAGAGAGAGAGAGTGAGAGAGAGAGAGAGAGAGTGAGAGAGAGAGGAGGGAGAGAGAGAGAGGAAAACACACACACACACAAAAGCCAAAGCCCCAATATACAAAAACAAAATCATAAATAAAAACAAAAATAAAAACCCCACCGGACAATACACACATACACACACACACACACACACACACACACACACACACACACACCCTCCCTCCCCCCCTCCCCCCACACACAACACACACCCCAAGCACCCAGCCGAAACCGCCAACAGCGCCGCATAAACGGAGGTTGATCAACATCCCTAACCAGCCCCATCCCTTCTACCCCAACAGACGATGACATGATTCTGGACATGCCCGACGGCTACCGTACCCCGGGCCCCCCCCTGGACCTAGAGCCGGGGCAGACGGCCATGAGCCCCCACCTGGGACCCCCCCATCCCGGCCCCCCGCATCACCCGTTCATTCATGGTGAGTTGTTGGAGTCACTCGAGAGTTGCTGTTAGTTAGTTGGGAAGTTACGCCTGAGTTAGTGAGTTATGAGGGAGTTACTGAAGATATTTTGAGTTATTTTTAGGTTATTGAGTTACTTGGGAGTTGCTGAGTTATATAAGTTACTTTGAGTTACTTCAGTTACTTTGAGTTACTTCAGTTACTTTGAGTTACTTAGGTTACTTTGAGTTACTTAAGTTACCTTGAGTTACTTCAGTTAGTTTGAGTTACTTCAGTTAGTTTGAGTTACTTCAGTTAGTTTGAGTTACTTCAGTTAGTTTGAGTTACTTCAGTTAGTTTGAGTTACTTCAGTTAGTTTGAGTTACTTCAGTTAGTTTGAGTTACTTCAGTTAGTTTGAGTTACTTCAGTTAGTTTGAGTTACTTCAGTTACCTTGAGTTACTTAGGTTATTGAGTTACTTGGGAGTTGCTGAGTTATATAAGTCACTTTGAATTACTGAGTCACTTGGGAATTACTGGGGTACTTAAGTTCCTTCGAGTTACTGAGTTACATGGAAGTTACTGAGTTGCTAATTACTTACTTATTCGAGTTAGTAAGTTACTTAGGAGTTACTGAGTTACTTGGGAGTTGCTGAGTTATATAAGTCACTTTGAATTACTGAGTCACTTGGGAATTACTGGGGTACTTAAGTTCCTTCGAGTTACTGAGTCACTTGGGAATTACTGGGGTACTTAAGTTCCTTCGAGTTACTGAGTCACTTGGGAATTACTGGGGTACTTAAGTTCCTTCGAGTTACTGAGTCACTTGGGAATTACTGGGGTACTTAAGTTCCTTCGAGTTACTGAGTCACTTGGGAATTACTGGGGTACTTAAGTTCCTTCGAGTTACTGAGTCACTTGGGAATTACTGGGGTACTTAAGTTCCTTCGAGTTACTGAGTCACTTGGGAATTACTGGGGTACTTAAGTTCCTTCGAGTTACTGAGTCACTTGGGAATTACTGGGGTACTTAAGTTCCTTCGAGTTACTGAGTCACTTGGGAATTACTGGGGTACTTAAGTTCCTTCGAGTTACTGAGTCACTTGGGAATTACTGGGGTACTTAAGTTCCTTCGAGTTACTGAGTCACTTGGGAATTACTGGGGTACTTAAGTTCCTTCGAGTATATAAGTTAGTTTGAGTTACTTCAGTTAGTTTGAGTTACTTCAGTTACTTTGAGTTACTTAGGTTACTTTGAGTTACTTAAGTTGCTTTGAGTTACTTAGGTTACTGAGTTACTTGGGAGTTGCTGAGTTATATAAGTCACTTTGAATTACTGAGTCACTTGGGAATTACTGGGGTACTTAAGTTCCTTCGAGTTACTGAGTCACTTGGGAATTACTGAGTTGCTAATTACTTACTTATTCGAGTTAGTAAGTTACTTAGGAGTTACTGAGTTACTTAGGTATTAGCAAATTACTTCAGGCTTCCGAGTTACCTAGAAATTACCGAGTTCGAGTTACTTAATTACTTACTGAGATACTGTCATTTACCGAGTTACTTGGAATTTTCCAAACTGCTTCGACTTACTGAGTTATTTAGGTATTTTTGAGTTACATTGCGTTAGTGAGTTACTCTGAGTTGCCAAGTGACTTGGGAATTGATGAGTTACCTAGGAGTTATTGAGAATTGCATCTACTGAATTGCCTAGGAGTTATCAAGTTTCTTGGAGTGACTTCTCTCTCTCTCTATCTATCTATCTCTCATTCTCTCTCTATCTATCTATCTATCTCTCATTCTCTCTCTCTCTCTCTATCTATCTATCTCTCATTCTCTCTCTATCTATCTATCTATCTCTCATTCTCTCTCTCTCTCTCTCTCTCTCTCTCTCTCTCTCTCTCTCATTCATTCTCTATCTATCAATCTATCTATCTCTAATTCTCTCTCTCTCTCTCTCTCTTTCTCTCTCTCTCATTATTTCTGTATCTATCTATCTAACAAATTTCTATCTGTCTATCTCTCTATTTCTATCTCTAGCTATATAGCATGTATATGATATATATATATAGATAGATAGATAGATAGATAGATAGATAGATAGATAGTTAGATAAATAGATAGATTTATCTCTCTCCTTACTCTTCTGCCTTTTCCTTCATCTCTCTCTTTTCCTTTTTTCCTCAAAGCTGATTCCTATTCCTTCTTCACAACCGCAAAATAAACATCCCCAGAATTATTATTATTTATTTATTTATTTTGCTATTTTATCTAATTTCATTTCATCTCATCTCATTTTATTTCATTTCGTTTTATTTCATTTCATTTTATCTTTAATGTCATTTCGTCTCATTTCATTTCATTTCATTTCATTTCATTTCATTTCATTTTATTTCACTTTATTTTTAAAGTCATCTCTCCCTCCCCCCGCAGGAGCCGGCACTCCCCCGTACATGGCCGGAGCAGGAGGGCACTCCCCCAGTGGCCCTGTGCCCCCCCACCCCATGGCCGCCCCGTTCCCGTACTCTGAGCCCTTACCGCCCTACCAGACGCCCATGAGTAAGTGCCGAGGCGCGTGGCTCCTGACGGGTCCTCTCCTCTTGGGGGGTCTGGTTGGTGTGTTCGCCCGGGAGTGCGAGAATCTGATCGATGTTGTTTGTTTATATATACTGTGTGTATGTGTATATATATATGTATATATATATATATATATATATATATATATATATATATATATATATATATATATATGTGTGTGTGTGTGTGTGTGTGTGTGCGTGTGTATGTGTTTATGTATGTATGTATATATGTATATTTTTCTGTATTGAAACATTCACTAGTGCGTATTTTAACCATATTTCATGCTCGAGTGCGGGTTGGTTCTTTTAAGAATAATCAATCACCGCCGATCGAACCCAAAGGCCAGAGTCACGCAACGTCCCCTCCTCTTTCCAGCAGCCGCCGCCGCAGCCGCCGCCGCCGCCGCCGCAGCCTCCGCGGCCGCCAGCGGAAGCGTGAGTGTCATGGCGGGCGGCCCAGCCAGCGACCTCAGTTCGAACGGCTCCAACCCCAGCTACCCCGAGTTCCCGCCCTCGCCCGACTCCTGGCTGGGCGACATGCAGCAGGAGCACCACCAGCAGTATTAGCTCTCTCTCTCACGCCCCTGAAGGCAGGCTCGCTCGCCCCGCGGCGTCACGAGGCAGGACGTACACACAGCCTGCCCGGCGCCGAATTTCATCCCCTCGGGTCTATGCCTGAGAACAGCAAGTGCTAAATCTTCATCTCATGCTGTGGTGGTGATGCGTCTTAATTTTTCATCCCGTGTGACTCGTTTTCGTTATTCTTCGGAAGATTTTTTTAAAAAGATTTATTCCATTCTTTCCCTGGCATTTTACAGCTGGAAATCAAATGTTTCAAATCTTCTTTTGCGCATTGTGTTTCTCTCTCTTTTTTTTTCCCCCGTGTCCGTTTCGTGCAGAAGAGAAAAAAAAGAAACAATTCCTTGCTCTCGTCAGGATCTTCAAACGTAACAATTAAGAAGTGTATATATATTTTTCTTTAGTACTGAAGGCTTGTACTTGACTACTACTATCTCTATAATAGTTTATATGACCTTGTTCTGAATGACGTCATGATCTCAAAAAAATAGGGAAAGTAACAGATATGCTTTTCGTTTATTTTCTCTCGTTGACCAAAGCAGAAAGGCCAAAGAAATCACTGTTTCTAACACTAGTCAGATTTTTGTATCGTTTCTTTCATTCCATTGGGAAATACCGAATCACTAAAACGATATTGTACAATATAAATGTAAGTATGAGTGTTTAATCAAAATTTCGGTTCACAAAGGTAATCTTCTTCAGATTTAGATATATATATAGGATGTGGGGACTTTATACCTGCAATTATGAGATATTTGTGTAGGCTCAAAATAAATGGGGTTGATTTGTCGGGAATTTCAAATAACGATTAAGCGAAATCTAAACCACGAAGCAGTTCAATTCAATCAAAAGGCATTGTTTTTATTGTTTACTGTAAATTCATAAGTTTTGTGTTGTAAATGTTTTCTCCGGGACTAAAAAAAAGAAAATTATTGCATGTATTGGAACTGGGGAGCAGACGTCCACTAACCTACATAAGGAGAGAAAAAACGGGCTTCACAAAAAAGTCATCACATATGCTAACGGAAGAGAAAAAACAAGACCGATCTAGTCAGCATAAACATTCCATTGAAGTATTCTTTCCCCAAAGTTTCCAAAGAACTCTACGCCAAGGTACAGAAGAGACTAATATCTCTTTCCTTGTGGGTGGAGGAGAATCGACCAAAGAGCATGCCAAGTGTGTGGAATGGCACTATAATGCAAGAGGCGATCTGGT